CACGGGCCTATGTTAGAAATGATGTGATTGCACAATATGTCTGATAACTTCTATAGTGCTTATTCATAAGCTAAATTAATTTTGGCTATGAAATGCACTAAAGGGGGGGTATGTCAGAGTATTTATATCGGCAGACATTTTGTGCTATGATAGAAACTAAAAGTGTATATTCTGAGTCACTCTGAACAGACCAGACTCCATTTTTGTTATTTCAAGTTAACAAAAAGACACTATATTTCTATCTGTAAGCTAACCACTTTCCCAGATCTGAGGAATGCATAGTATAAACAAGTGATAAGGAAGGGGGTTGGACAGACTGTCTAATGCTAATGGAATATAATCAAATCTAAACCCAGACAATTGTGACAGAGAAGATTAAATAATAAAATTTAACTGTCTATATATATATAAGGTACCATTGTATGGAAAAGGGTAAACTTAGTTCATGATCTGTCATATCAGAAATTATAGCAGATTTGCAGACACATAGTCTGGACAAAATTTCTAGAACCCCTTTGATCTTTGAAGGATACGTAAGTTATAGCCACTATCTAGATAGGCCAAAATGACGTCAAAATAGCCACCAGGAAAAGTTAACTCTTTCCTGGATAGGTATGTTTAGTGGGACAAGACTGCCCTCCACAGACCAAATAACTAATTTGCGATCTGGAAGATAACCACACCTCTAGTGCTTCTATTGGGTTATCAACTGATGACGTACAGAGAGTCTGGCCCTTTAAAAGTTAAGACAAAGGGAAGATAGAGACAAGACGAAGGAGGCAGATGCAAGATATGCAAAGGAGAGAAAAGAGAGGAATTGGAAGTTTGGGGACTCCAACCTCCATGCAGAGACACATCCAAATAAATTCCTGAGACTACCAATCGGATGAAATATCTACTGAACTGGTAATTATACTGGTTTCATTTAATTAAATTAAATTAATTAAAATGTATTAATAGCATTATATATGACTGGATAAAGCACGGTCAGATTTCCATATTAAGAAATCTTAGTTAACTAAAGAATATATAGTTATAAATATTCCATTCTGCAGGTGGAATTAAGAATAATTATATATTGATGTGATATTATCACGTGTTAGCATACAGCTGTTTTTATCCAGGTGTATTGATTTGCTCTAAATTAAGATAGATATCTTTTAGACAAATTAAAAATCTGCTTATATAATATGTAGATTCTCTTATTGGATTGTTTTCAGGAAATGGCTAATAAACTGGTTTAAATGTTATTTTATTTAAAAATTACATAAGAATAGATCTTAACTACCTAGGAGATCTAGCCAGCATTGAAAGGGTTATTCTAACTGTCGGCTAAACTTTACGACCTTATGCTGCACTCTGAGGAATTCTGTTCTCTGTGTGAAAAGTTTCACTTTCAGCCTGTGTTAAGGATACCTCATAAATCGTAGAAGTCTTGACAGATAATGAGTTAATAGCCATTGAAACGTAATACCCATTTCTTTGTATTGCATATAATTTTGTACTGGATATTCATTGATTATTGTTATGCATGTTACATATAATATTATTATTATTAATTTGTCATTATAAATAAAAATCTATTTTTATACATTGTGATATTATTATATGAAATACATTCCACTTAACACGATAAACGTTCTTTGGGATCTGAGAATTGAAATAGTGGGCAATTCTCAACTGTTTACTATTATTATCCCATGTTATATCCCCACAGTTTAATCATCCTTAACTCTATACTGGCATACAACAGACAGAAGTAGGACTGCTTACCCTATTTTAATATTTCTTGTCGTAAGGTTTTATTTTAGGTATAAATATATTAAAAGCCAAGTTTTATTGCTAGACCCATAAAGACTATTTTGATAGAATTACTTACCCTCTCGTGACACCTACTGGCAGGTTTTTGGTTTAAACACCTCTTTCTGGAAAGACTGTATCTGTAATAGGAGCTACTGGGAGAAACACTGCTAGACTGGTTCTCAGGAGTCGCACTTGCATTTTAGGAGGCCATTTTGTGAAGCACCAGTTCCTATATATGCCAGAGTGTTCAATTTAACTTCTAGGACGAGATCTATTATCAAAGCTTCAAGCTCAGATAACTTTTCTACCTAATGGGTCAACGTCTCTGAAGTTTAATAAATCACCAGGCATGATAGCAGTATTGGTACCAAAAGAAGAAGAATGGAGTTTCTACTCTGTAATAACAAATGCAGAACATACAGACGTACTTGGATAAGTTCGTAACGTATGGTATCCTAAAATTCTGTACCTCCCCTTGGAACACTCCATTATTACCTGTTCAGAAACCAGCATCAGATGAGTATCATCCTGTACAAGATTTAAGAGCAGTTGATGATGCAGTAGTTAATATACACCCAGTGGTACCCAACCCCTATAATCTGCTTGCCCTAATTCCTGGTGGGGAAACTCACTCTACAGTCCTAGATCTTAAAGATGCTTTCTTTTGCCTTTGACTTGCTGTTGAAAGCCAGTGCGTCTTTGCTTTTCAATGGGAAGATGCTGTTACGGGATCAAAGCATCAGATGACTTGGACCAGGTTGCCTCAAGGATTCAAGAATTCACCTACCCTATTTGGATCTGCACTGAGTCAAGATTTACAAGACTTCAAATCCATCCCAGGGAATATGTATTTCTTCAGTACATGGATGATCTCTTGATAGCTGCAGTTACTAAAGAGATGAGCCAACAAGCAACCCATGATCTACTCCATATTCTTTGGAGGGCAGGTTACAAGGTATCAAGGAAGAAGGCGCAATTGTGTCAGCCAACTGTCAAGTATTTAGGATTCCATATCTCTGAAGGTCAAAGAACAATGGTACCTGAAAGAAAAGAAGCAGTGTGTCGAATACCTGTACCCATGAATAGAAGACAAGTGCAAGAATTTTTGGGAGCAGCAGGATTCTGTAGGATATGGATTCCTAATTATGCGATATTGGCGAAACCCTTGTATGAAGCTGTAAAAGGCACGGAACATGATCCCTTCCTATGGACCACAGAACAACAGAAGGCATTTGAAGATATCAAGAAAGCACTTATGAGTGCCCCAGCCCTAGGCCTACCAGATCACTTGCGTCCTTTCTACCTATATGTGCATGAGCAAAGAAGGATGGCCGTGGGAGTGTTAACTCAGTACTTAGGATCATGGCAAAGACCTGTAGCCTACTTGTCTAAACAGTTGGATGCGGTGGCCAGTTGTCTTCCACCTTGTCTACGAGCAGTGGCTGCTGCAGCTTTGTTGGTAGCGGAAGCTGACAAACTTACATTGGGTCAGGAACTCTATGTGTGAGTACCTCATGCAGTACAGACCCTATTGGATTACAAAGGTAATCATTGGCTCAGCAATAGCAGAATGACCAAGTATCAGGCTATGCCATGCAAGAATCCAAGAGTACATCTTGAGACTGTCAACAATCTCAATCCAGCTACCCTTTTGCCACAGACTGCTGAAAGTCAACATGACTGTCTGGGAAATAATGGATGAAGTATTTTCTAGCAGGCCAGATCTCCATGATTTTCCCATCCAGAACCCAGATATACAGTACTATACGGATGGTAGTAGCTTTGTAAAAGAATGTATTCGGTATGCAGGGTATGCGGTAACCACCATAGACAAGGTGATAGAAGCACGACCATTGTCAAAAGGGACATTAGCACAGAAGGCGGAATTAATCACACTGACAAGGGCCTTGCAACTAGCTGAGGGGTTGAGAGTGAACATCGATACGGATTCAAGATATGCCTTCTTAACAACTCATGCCCATGGAGCATTGTATAAAGAAGGAGCTGTAAAGGTGGCAGAGGTGACACCTTGGATTCATCTCTCTAGGGTTAAACCAGCGGCAGACTCCTGGCAAGCTACTCCAGATCATGAGAATCCTTGCAAGATTCTGTTGAAGCGCATGACCCAGTCGAATTGAGCGTGACTTGAGAAGTATGAGGTGATTTTTGAAGAATCGTGGTTGAAAGTTGTAGATATCAACAAGTAGGTGTTTTGACGGCCATTATAAAGCCTGACCACCTGCCTACGTTTCATAGTCAGAGTATCTCGAAGGGACCTCTGTGAGGATCAGAAGTACTACCATCCTTGCAGCCCTCACAAGTGGGAAGCTG